TGGAAAATTCACCACAGCACAAGTAGGGTCAAAGCCTGCCATCAAGTGCTTTAGAAAAGACCAAAATGCTGTATAATATATTCAGAGCTGTCAAGACACCAACTTCTCCAGGGATGATAATACTCATGATCTGGGAAACAAAAAGGAGAAAAGTAAAGGAATGGTTTTAAAAAGAGAGAGAGGAAGAGAGAAGGCTGTAACAAATGATGCCACAAAAAGAGCATATGGAAGAAAAATAGCAATGGAAGAGAACATAGAAAACATTGCTTGAAATTAAAGTCTTCAGAATTCAAGAAAGGAATCAAGGATCTCAAATAAAAAGTTATCTTTCTGTGATTTTTTCATTAATAATCTTTATAGTGTGCCCACAAACAATAAAATGTCATCATAAATCCAAATTTTGATGCAGAAAATAACCACCACTTATCCCAGCTCAAAAAAGTTGTGCTTTTGAATATGTGCATTTTTTTTTAAGTCAGTAGCCTGTCCCACAGATGCTACTGTAGGCAAGCTGTACAAAAATAAAGGTAGCACAAAGAAACATACAAAATGTATTTTCTCCCTGCTTGCATGGCTTTTGGGAAAGACAGGAGTCTAAGCAAAACTGTATTTAAGGTCAGTAGCACATTGTTTTTCTGTCTGAGCAGTAGCAGACCAAAAGCCTTGTGCATGTGCTCTGAAGCTGCCCAGACACAGTGCTCAGAAAGACCATTAAGGCAACAGCACAATCCTGTGCCTGAGGTGCCTCTCCAGATCAAAGAGAACAATGCTTGCATTTGTGCTTCCCTCTCTGTATTGCTGCTTCAGAACTAAAAATCAGCCACAGTTGTCTAACTCTTTGCTTTCGAGAAGCTGCCAAGGTATTAAAGCTGAGAGACACAGAAATTTTCATGCATTATTCAGATTTAAACGTTTAAGAGGAAAGTAGACATTTGTCAAACAACTGTCTTACTCTCAGTATTTCATTAAATACCAATATAAATTCTATGAAATACTAGCACATCATTTACCCCTTGAACTACTTGAGCAGGCTCAAAGACTGGTATTTTCCTCTTGTTTTCCCTTTTTATTCCATTTCAAAAAATATCAACTAATTTCAGGGGTTTCTTGAGTGGGAAGGGGGAGGTAGTCCCAAGGACAGAAAAGCTTCAAATAGCCATCCAAATGGCCATCCATTTCCATGTGCCTTTTTTCTGTCTCCTTTGTGTAGTGTTTTAAGGATCCCATAATCAGACTATAGTTAGATTGTAAATTAATGAATTGTGAAAATAACTTAAAACCAATTTCCTTTATTTTGCTTTAAATATTTCACTTCCCGCAGTAGCACAGAGCTGGAGACTGTGCTCAGAAATATCCCCCAAAAAGGCCTGCAAATCTCTCCAAATAGAGATTTCTGTTTTGTTTTGTAAGTGATCAGTTTGATGTTCTGTCTTCTAATTTACGAAGGCCTGTCAGCAAACTCACAGCTAGTTCAGGCACACAGGTCTTAACAGTCATGTGTGATGACTTCAGAATTAGGTCTTTTATTTGCATCACTTTTCTGTGTTTCATTCTTTGATCAGAACTTGATACCTGATGCTGTTCAGATGAGTTCAAACTCATTTTCATTACTTGTGGTGGTGGAGATAAGGCAGAGCTTGTTCAACAGACCCCTGCAGTGGAGGCAACATTTCACTGCTTGGAGCATAAGAAGGGGCAGGGTGAAGAAGGCAGGCAGGAGAAGTAGAAGGGGTACAACAGGCAGAAAAGCCCTGGATTGCCAGGCTGGCTGCTGCTGCTGCTTGGGGACCAAAAAAGCCAATGGCCAGGCACATGCTGGCACATGCCACCAGCCCTACCTGCGCCCACCAGCCCTACCTGTGCCCACCAGCACCAGCTGCAGCCGCTCCCCTTGGCCTTCAGCACAGAGCAAGGGGCAGCAGGGCACCTTCCTGCCCTGCTCAGCAGCTCCTGGGTCACTGCCTTCTCTGGGTAAAGCCTAGAGCTTCTTGTGAAATGAAATGTTTTATAACATGTATTTTAGAAAAATACTGTGTTAAGACTAGAAACGTTAATTTTCATAACAACAACTAATATACTTGCCTTGCTTTGGACTTGGCAGCATGCTGACTACTTTTAAAGCATAAATTTTGTTTCAACTTCCAGTGAAAGTACTTCCCTTTGTGCTGCTGATGTTCTACACTCATTATCTGTAGCTAATCCAATTCCTAAACTGAATAAACATAATTAGTTAATATTAAAGTTTTAAAAGTAATCCTGACCATGCTTTCAGGAAGGTAAAAATGGTATTAGAGTTGGTTAAAATAAAATTAAAACAAAATTGGCAAAAAATAAATAATGGGATTTCATAACTTTTTCAGAATTGTTTCATTTAACTTCCAAATTACAATTGGCCATCTACTTGATACATATATGTGCATACATGTGTGTGTGCAAGAGAGATACAAGCACAAAATTAAGAAAAAGAAAGCTTTTACAATACAAGATTAACAGTTCCAGAATTTTCAGCTACACAGTAGTTTGCGGAGAACAATAAAATCTACCTGTTTTACCTTAATGTGTTTCTGTGGGCAAACATTTTATAGGATGCAGGAATAACGATGAAGCCTTTGATCCATCCCTTCGTTAAGTACATTTTAAAAACATTCTAATGAGAAAGAAATGGTCTGATTTAGAAATCAGCATCTATAATGTTGTATCCAGAATTTTGTAGACAGCAATGTTTAGAGGCATTTGCTAGCAGCTCACATCAGTGTCAGGCAGAACAGCCAGCATGGAGCAAAACACCACTTCAGCAGCCTCTTACTACAACCCACATCTGGGCTAAGGGCCTCTTAGAACAACAGGCTATAGTCATCAAAATAAGTTTAAAAATAGGGAAGGTATTTGTTTTATGATAAATAAATATTGTTTACTTAATACTTGGGAAAATTTGGATAAATTATTCCAGGCAAAAAATGTGAAACACCTCATTTGCTGTTTAAGTGGGATTTAATGAACTATTGAATCCCACTCAGTGAAGGCAAACAATGGTCTGTGTTGATGGGACAGATATTTCACCATTTTCATTGCCTGAACTGTAGGAAGCATCCCAGCAATGACTAATCTACAATGAATGTAGATTCAGTAGCTGTACCATCAGATAAAGTACTTTGATTTTGCATATTGAGACAGCTAAATATATACAATATGAATAATAAAGCCAACAGCAAAGATACATAGCCTCAGTTATAAGAGTTGCAATACAAATATTGACTTTTGAAATACATTTCATTTTTTCTGCCTGTTACATTTTCTGGGTTGTTAATCTCATCACATTTATTAGGTGATGACCTACTGTTTCTTATACATAAGAGAAACACTACTTTTTGTAATGCATATATAGAACATTAAAATTAAAATTCAGATATAGGGTCATAATCAACGTGTTGTTTGTTGTACATTAATATTCAAAGTTTTCCATTACAATTCAGAAACTGGACAACAATATTAAATCCATGGCTATTACTAAAAATCTTTGATTGCTAAAGGAATCACTAAAAGAAATAATGATTTAACTGTTCTCTCTCAATTGCATCTACAGGTTTCTAACACACTGCATTATTATTTGTCCCACTTGGATGCAGAACATGGGAAAGCATTTGTCAGACAGTCCTTCTAGAGTGAGAAAATTATTTTTCTGAAAGCAAGCCAGGACAGATAAGATTACCAGTGAGGTTACTGGTGCACTAAAATGGTACAGATTTATGTAGAATTGCATCACTTAAGAACTTGGACTATTTCAATTGTAATTCTTGTGATATTTGGGTTGCTTTTAAAAATAAGTGAATTAATATTTATAAAACTGTACTTTTTTGTAGCAATAAACAGTAACGTTTAAAGTAAAATTAACAATATTTTCCCTATTCTGAATTATTTAGGGTATTTCCAGGCTAAGGTATACATAAACAGCATATAATGTTGAGTCTCCTCCTAAACCAAATAATCTTTTCCCTAATTCTCTGAGTTAAAATTTTTACTGTTACATTCTACCTAGATAGGTTCAAGGTCTTTTCTAAAACTGCCTCTCCTCTGGAAGGCAGAGCTTAATCCAGCACATATTCCAGTGATGCCATCTGGAATAAAACACAGATTGATACATTTAATTATACCTCTCATACCTCTGCATTTTTACCCATGAAATACTTCAATTAAGTAATACAAAATAAAGCTGTCAATTTGTCAAATACTGTAACATTATGCAGCCTGTATTATTTTCTCTTAACTCTTTTGTCAAATCTGATCTCTGCAGTTATCAGGCTACAATATCTAAGATAGCTTTAAGATGCCATGAACCAAAGCAGCAAATCTAATTAAGATGAAATATTTGATCTATAATGGAAATAACATTATCTTTTTTCCCAGATGTATATACCATATAACCCCCATCCAATAGCATGCTGAATTTCCTGCCCGTGCTTGCCTTATCTTTTTTGCATAATTTTTTCAGATCATTAATACATGCAGTTCTTGGTTATAAAACCTTGCCTTCTCATGCAGATCGTTTTACTTTAGCAAAGCCATATTGCATTTGTAACCACTGGTCATGGTTTCCAAAAGCTCTAGATACATTTCCCCTTTCAAATAATAACACATCCACCTACAGTTTCAGTTCAGTAATAACTATAAAGATGCAGATATTAGTACAAGGAATATATTAGTATTCATATTATTTTGTTATTAATTAATCATTCATATGAAATAATTAATTAATATCATAGTCGGTGGTCTTAAGTGGCTGAGATAATTCTCCAAGACTACAGCCTTGAAAAATAAAGGATGAGAAAATATCAAATAAAATAAAAATTCAAGTGTTTGAAAAAACATGTCCCCTGTTTTTATGTCACAGGACAAGGAGGGAGGTAGAGCTTTAATTCTGGTTTTAGTGCAGTTTCTCCTGTAGATGAACTTATATTTATTCTGCTTTTCTTTCCCTCCCTCCCTCCCCTGCTATCTTGCAGCAAACGTATGTGACAATGAACTACTGCATTGCCAGAACGGAGGAACGTGCATCAACAACGTGCGGTGCCAGTGCCCTCCGGCTTACACTGGCATTTTGTGTGAGAAGTTGAAGTGTGAGAGGGATCCAGGAGGCTGCGGCCAGAACTCGGGCCAGGGGGCAATGGCACACAGGCCTCTCATACTGCTGACTGCTCTTCTGGGAGCAGCGGGACTCTGCACGTGGTAGGCTCCGTGTGCTGGATGGCATCACGCTCAGACTGCTTCAAATGAACCATGTGAAAACAGGACAACGCCCAAGCGTTTGCCACCGAAATCTAAAGAGGAAAAAAGAGAGAAAAAAATAACCACAACCAGACTAAGAAGGCCTAACTGAACTAAGCCATATCAAGCAGTTATGGACAGGGCTCTGAGTCAAGACTGTTCACCTCTGACTCGAGACACGTTGGCAGCTGCCTGTTCTGTCAAATCAATCAATGCTGGCTGCAAAGCTTACACAGGACTGAAACGGCTTTGACAGCCCCCAGAATAGGAAGAGAATTTAAACAACATTTGCTACTCCTATATGGTGCGCTACTGTACCTCCGCCCAGTGTGTGGACCGACCAAATAAAGGCATTCTTTGCTGTCAGTGCATTGTGGGTATAAGGAAATCTGTAAAAGCTGCCATATTGGCCTGCTTCAGTCCCCAAATCCTTCCCAACCTGTGCTTTAGTGAACGTTGCTCTGTAACCCTTGTTGGTTGAAAGATTTCTTTGTCTGATGTTAGTGATGCACATGTGTAACAGCCCCCTCAATAAAACTCAAGCCAGTCATATCCTTGTATACCTTAGAAGCACTGCATCACTAAGATGCTGTGTTCACCTACTGTACAAGAGTGGCTATAGGACAAAAAGTGTATTTATCCTTTTGTATTCAAATGAAGTTATTTTTCTTGAAATAATGTACAATGTAGATTTTTTGTATTATTGCCTATTTGTGTTACCAGACAATTTATTAATGTATTTAATTCTAATCAGATAAGAGAAAACTATTACTTTTTATTTAGTCCTTTTCTTTTTCCTTTCATTTAATTGTGCAGAGATTTCTCTGTATGGGCAACGTGCTGGCATCAAAGAATATCAGTTTACATATATAACAAGTGTAATAAGATTCCACCAAAGGACATTATAAATGTTTTCTTGTTGCTTTAACACTGGAAGATTTCAAAGAATAAAAATTCCTGCATAAACAGTTCCAGGATGATGCATTGCTATTTCTTAAGGTCTTTTTAGAAAACAAAAAACAAACAAAATGTTTATGATTTTACCACCTAGTATGTGGAAGAAACCCAGACTCAAAAGTGGAAATTACATCATAACAATCTAACCTGGCTTTATTGTTACTACTGGCATACTCTTGCAAGCAACCTTAAATGTAAAGGACATCATTTACTTGAGGAAGCTTTCATCAAATCCTAAGATTGAAAAAGGTATGAAAACTTGAATAGCTCTCATCTTTGTTCTCTCAATTAATCACAGACATTATTTCAACACCAAATTACAAGGTATCATAGAAGCTAGTCTTTAATTCACACTATTTTTGTGGATTATGGCAATAATGAAGTGGATATAACCACAGCTTATATTGTCTCTCCAAAATCTTCATTAAAATGATGTGTTTATATATGTACTATTCTGCTTAAGGAACTGCAAAAACAGCACCAATCACAAAAAAGCCAAGATTTAACTTTTAATAAAGTAAAATTCAATATTTAGAAGGAATGTCAAAATATACAGCAGTGAATAGGTAAAAAGTGCTGCTCCAGCAAATAAAGTTTATTTCAAGTATTGCCCAGGGTGTAATAAATTCTCGTTTCTGCCTTTTATTAGGCCAATTACTGAGTGTGACAGAAAAGGATAGCAAGAATAGAGAGGCAAGCCAAAACCACAGCAGTGTTTCAAAGACCTGGGAAAAAAAAAATGAAAGGTAGCAAGACTGTGTGAATTCATTTCCTGCCAATTTTCATCATAATGTTTATAAATATTTTACCAACATAATAGCCTAGTGAGGAAAACAATTAATGGGCAAAAGAAAAAATCCTGAGAGAAATACATTCTACCTGGTTGCCTCATCCAAATGGTGAACAGCCCAGAATTGAGAACACTCCCTTCTCGGATAAGCTCTTTCTGCTAAGGAAGCAAGTTTTGCAGGACAGTACCCAGCCTCCAGAAGTGGGAAGGGAAACCAGGTCTTCCTTTCTAAAAAGAAATAGGATTCTAAAAGAATCCTATGAAGAGGTGAATGACAACAAGCCAGTGCTTCTTCAGGCTGTTGCCTTGACCCTTCGTCACGTAGAATGTTTGCTGTTCACTCTGCCACTCTTTTGTGGACTACATAAGATAAGGCACAGATAAATTAAGTGCTTGTCTGGATGCCAGTCATGGCCTACATGAGACTGCAGGTATATTTTAGAAGTATGTTCTCAACAATAAACAGAAAATTATATAATGAGGAATATAAATGCTAATACAAGTGGCATACAGAGTCAGAGATTACCTATAATTAAGTGGATTTTTGATATTAAAATGTGGAATTTAAGTTTTTTTAAAGCTTTTTAGCACAGACCAATTCAGATTGTGTAATTATTGGAAAAGATGCGCTTTAATTGTCATAAACTGAAGGCTTTGTGAAAGTGCTAAGCAAGCATGTTATGCATATTTGGTTAGAAGGGATTCTGCCAGCAGTGCTGAAGTATAATGAATGTAAGGTCACAATCAATTCAGCTGCATTCCATTTTCATATACTTATGATCTTCTAAACCAGGGCAGAGTATATGGCTTTCCACGTATTTAGCTGCCATTTCATGCATTTTATCCTCCCTCACCTATTAATAAAATTTCAGTTTTATACAGGAGTATATTCAGTGGTAAGTCTTCTTATCAATCACCCTTCTCTTCAGCTTCATTATTTTATCCTCTGAACTCCACAGAACTTCACTAATTGAGCATTTTGAGTAACAGTTTCTGCTACTGTATTCCAGGTATATTTCTAAAATTATGTGTGCATCTTTGAAAGAGGAGATTTACATCACTCAGCATGGCTTTATCTGCTTTTTTAAATTTAATTCAGTGTAAAATGAGGGCAGAACTTGTTCCCCATTTCAGAAGCTGTGAAGAACAACAGATTTATTTTCCTGAACATACAGTAGGATCTCTTCATGATAACATGTAGTCGCAGTGTCTGCTTTTTCACCTGAAAATATAGACCCCTTCCAACGTATTTAGTTTTCTTAGAGTGAGTTTCCTTTCCTGTGAATGCCTGTAAAATAACAACACATTCATGATATTGAAAAAGGGCAACACAATCACTAACCTAGGATTTTGGTTCTGTATCAAAATGCAGCAAAAGTAATTCCTAATGTGGAATTATCATTTTCTGACTGATATAATTCTTTCCTAGAAGGTTTAGCATCCAAGAACTGACCAGGCTTCACATTGCTTAGTTGTCCAGATTATAGCTCAGAGTACAGCGACCTTAAAATTAGCATTCATCATTAGATTGATCCAGTCATATCAGTTCCAGTTGCTTTGCTAAATCAGTTGGTCCTTGTCAGCTTGCAATTCCTGTGTTTCTAACTAGAGAATTGGTTCTGATCCAGGATCCACACATGTTTAACATCTGAAAATGGGGCAGCTTATGATAAGGTGCTGCTCCCTGACAAGGTAGCTGCAGAAATTTCTACTTCACACTAGCCATCTTTCTCACAAGGAAATTAAGAGAGAGGCATATGTCTTAGTGCTACCTAATTGTTTCAAAAACAAACTATCCAAATGGAAAAAAAAAATCTAGTCAGATGCAAATTGACCCCAGATATTGCTGTCAAACAAAAATTGATCATGACTGAGCCACTGAGAAGTTATTTCCTGTAGTGAAGAGAACAAAAAAATAATGTGCAAAAGACTTCTCAAATTCAGAAAGAGTTCTTCTGCTTACATATAATTTTGTACATCTCGCTCGTAACTCCAAGATGCCAGAGGGATTTGTTCTAACCTCATTGGGATTCTAGGTTTATTAAACCATTGAATTAACTAGATTCATCCATGCATGCGGTTTATTCACCTGTGAGAAATGTGAGTAATATTTTTCATAGAATATGCAAGAACAGATTTTCAGGCAACCTTCAGCCTAGCCTTCATGTTTGTCCTTGCAAATGCAAAGTTACAGATGTAAATATTAAGAATAATCAGTTCATTCCCAAGAAAAACTGCAAGTTTAATTATTTATGGATGCAAATATTTATCCAATAAAATGCAGATCAAGTATTATAAATCAGAAATTTTATATTAACCAACTTAATACCTTTCCCACCCTCATACAGTATCAGAAAGAAGAGGATGTAAGTATATGCAAAACAAGCAAGTGGAACATCAGCATTTTGCACCATATGGTGCATTTCATTTAATGAAATCAAAGTTCATCACCAGTGCAGTATGTTCACCGAGGCACCATTTTTGCCACCATATGCAATAAATAAAATTCCAGTACAAAGCATATGTTTCCCTTTATTGTTTTTCTTGCCATCATTATCTATACAGACACAAACATATAGACAACAAAATCCTGCTTGAGACATTTTACAGTCTCAAAGAGTACAGAGAAGACTAATGTTATGCAATCTAGACCTAAAGAGATTTAAAGGCTTCAGGCTTGAATTCCTGCACATATTGCTAGCTAGTGCTCATCTCTGAGTAGGACCGGGATAAAGGTCACATCGTGGAAGTGCAGTGAATCAGAGTTCCACAGCGCTCAGAGAACCAGCGACAGCCTACCTACAGAAAGCACCACAGGATGGCGTTTGCCCTGCATCTGTCAGCAGGGGCAACCACGTCCAACCCGGGGAGAGATGCAGGCATCGCTCCTGCATCAAAACCTTTGCATCTGTGTTTACAGATGTGCACATTCCACTTACGGTTGGTAAGACACCTGCTATTTACACGATGCTGCCCGATGGAGTTGCTGTACACATGGTCAAGTCTACTATTGTCACTGGAAATATATTTTTTTTGTACTAGAAGCAAGCCACTGCTGAGAAACTGGAGTAACAACAGTGTATTCTGGGAAAAAGAAGGTCAGAGGTAGGTTTTGGGGCTATGCTTGTTTGTTTTGAGAAAATGAGACTGGTTTTGGATGAGTATTTTCTGTTTATCACATAATGTAATTTTCACTTGATTACTCTGTGCAGGTATTTGTGACATCCGAGTCAAATAACTAGTAAGTTAATTCTAACATTTATACATCTTAACATGACCTCTCACAAATGACATCAGTTCAATCCTATATACTGGCAGCCTTTACAGTTCAAGGCTCATGGCAGAACACTCTTCAAAAAAAAGTAGTATTGGGGGCATTGAAATGCATGAAATGGACTTGAGAACTCCTATATCTAAGTGTAAAAACTAGAATATATATATACACACCCCAGCACTGAAGCCAAAATCTCCCTAAACTGGAAGCCTCAGAATTCTAAATAGAAACTGCCTGATTCTTAAAAGTATTGTAAAGATCAGTGCAAATCTAAAAAAGAAGGAAAAATTCACTGATTTCTGATTCAGCTCCATTGCAAGAATGGATTTTTTTTTTTATAATTTTTTCTGGTTGGGATATCAGTTGTTTTGAGTTTAATGCATTCTCTGCATTCAGAAGTGCACCACTCCACACAACTAGCAAAAACACATTATGAGATGCAGATCATTCAGGCCCTTACTCTTGACATCTCGTACAACGCATATTCTAAGTTCCCTGATTTTAAGGCAGCCTTGATCTAGCTGATGCTTTCATAACTCTCAGTGGCTGTATTCAGTGTTACCTGAACATGTAAATGAAAACATTTCAAGCCTCGTACATCTGTGGGGAACATGGTTAGCTTTGCACCTGCAAATAATTGTAGATGCAAAATTAGTGACTGCTGCCTATATTAGTTGTTTGCAATTGACAGTACCAAGAAATCTCCTTCAAAGGCTTGGGTCTCTATGACTGAATCCTGTAAACATACTGAATGAAAAAATGTATTTGCTTACTCTAAGTAAAATACATGGCAAAGTCATTCTTACAGGATTCTTGTGACCTTCAAAGTCAAACCACTTCCATTAATCACTACTGAGATACCTCAAAAACCCTCAAAGACGAGACAATAGGGCTAGACTGTTATTCTCTACAGCCTATAAGTATTCAGATACTTCAGATATCTTTTAATAG